GCTTCAGAAGTGAAGTTTATTGAATGGACTACTCCGGGCTGCGGGGCTAAGTGTTCCTAAGGGCCTGGTTCCTCGAGCCTTGGTGGCACAACGCCACGAATGGATCCAATGAGGTGTTAAAATTTAAAATTAATTTCTTAATTGGTTTAAGTCAAACCTTAATTGATAATAAATTATCCAATTCACATTTTCTTTTAATTTACAACCAACTAAATAATTCAATTAAATCCTAAAAATAAAAATCTCTAAAATCAATCTTAAATACTAATATTTAGACTTAAATCAAAATCCTCCTTCTGCCCTTCAACAAAATCAATGAAAGCAACTATTAATTAAACTATCATATATAGGCCTACCAAAACTACACACTGTTAACATACCTTAGACTTGTTTGATTAGAATAAGACTTTTAGCTCTAGGTTTGGCTCACATTTCCTCTTGTCCTCGAGTGGTCTAACCTGCTTGCGGCTTTATAATCCAATAAGAGAAGGCTAATAACATGATTCTCCGTAGAATATCGTAGAGTTGAATTAAATTTCCTGTGAGCGTGTAGTCCTTCTTAATTCTATTATAGTATATTACCTAATGTTACGTCACGACGGTCCTATGCAGACTTTCTCTCTCATAGCGTGAGAAAGTCCAGAAGGGCTCCAATAGGCTGACAAGCGCTATTATCCAAAAACTAAAAAGATTTGAGGAACCAATATCCAAAAACTACAAAAGTTATATTAGTTTCGGTCTGTGGCGTGTCTCTATATTCTTAGACGAATCCGGTGATCATGTGGAGCTTAATATGATCTGTAAGCTAAGCGGCAGGGTGTGGATGCGCGCTGGTCGCATTCACTAATTTCCTCATGCAATTATCTGGGGAGTGTTTGTAATAAGGGCAATTTGCCTATGCCATTTTAGTTGATTATTTTGGATTTATATTGATGTGTTTACTGATTGCGCCCAGGTGGCATGTGCCTGCCTCTTCGTCTCAAGGTCATTTTCTTTGACATTAAGTCAAGTTTTGATTATTTCATGTGAATTGTCAAGTGTAATCTCGTAAATTATGTTTTATATAATTATACTATCCTATAAATTACCCTAATAACAGTGTTAACAATCACACACTTTCTGTTAGTAGGTATATGCTTAGTATAGTTATAGCCGAATAAAGCGCAAGACATTAGGCTTAGTAAACGTTCTCCTACTGGACGAGCTATTTTGCCCCCTCGGAATACGGTCGAATTCCAAAGGCTTGCCCCCTTCTGTGAGCCCTAGAGACCATTAGGGTCATTTAGGCCTGTAGAGTAGGCCGCATATTATGCCGCGTTGGCATCGTTGGTTTTCCCCACACGAAGTGGGCAAATCCGTTGGTTTTTCTCCGTAGGATTTTGGCCTTCTGGTTTTGGTACCCGATACCCTTCCTTTTTTTTTTCCTTTTTTTTCTGTGACCTTAGAGGACCGGTCAGGCTATTTGAGGCCAGTATCATTAGGCCTTAGTAGAGCATCTTTAGTTTCCTTCCTACTGCTAAAACATCTCTCACTCTTGCATCCTCCGACTGGGGGTGTGACATCGCTGATAATCTTGTTTGCCATCACGAAGTGGGCAATGACTATGATGATTTTCTGTGCGGGTACCTTGCCTGGAGAACATATGAGGGAGTGATGATCCGTCTTAGGGAGGTCCTAGGTGAGATCAGTTTAAAAAATTATTTTTTATAGCCTGTTTAAATCTATAGCATTCATGAAAGTCTCGACATTTTTCAATAGCAATGAATTGCATTAGAAATCAAATTTTAATTAACATTTAATGCATAGTAGGAGCATCTGACCCACATAAGTCCTAGGACCACTTAGGAAAAATTCCCTCTAGAGTCGTCCTATTTCCAAAACTGTACCACCCACCCATCTTTCATAACTGCTTGACAGCATGGTTTTTAAGCGATTTATGGTGTTAGCTGGCCCCCCAATCCAGGCCGCGATAAGTCCAGATTTTGCAATCACCTTAGTTTAGACCCACTGGTCTTATGGAGTGGTTGTTATGTATTAGGAGATTTGTTAATTGATTTTAAAAGATTACTCTAAGTTTGATCTTTAAGAGTATTTTAATCCTAATGAATTTCATTTATAATTTAATCTCCTAAGGATATCTACATCTTTTAGATTTTAAATTAGTTGGGAGTTAATTATTAGATTAGTCAAACTTGATTTAGATGTATGTTTTAGATT